AATCTGCACCTGACCTTTATTTTGAAAAATGTCAGATGCTTTACGCTGCTCTCCTGTTTAATTTCCTGTCGGACTGGATCTGAACGGCTGAGCTTCTGGAAACGTAGCACATAAAAAACAGACACGCAGCGTCATTTGGCGAAGCAACGCTACAACACTATGGAAGAAACTTGGTCTCACCAGGATATAACTTTTTTTTGTCATTGAATTTATGACAGAATTTTATTTTTAACTTAAAATACAACAGCAAAAATTTTATCTATAAAAATTCAACTGCAGAATTTCAACAGCAAAAAATTCTACAACTGAGGTGACCTCCTGGTGACCCGAGCCAAAGTACCATAATTGTCAACTAATGGAGTTGAATGGTGTTATGGAAATTTTATGTTTTATTATTTCTTGATCATTAATTCTAACTGAATGTATTAGTCTATGCTTGAAAGCATTCCACCCACACGTTCCTGTAGCCATTCACACACACACACACACACACACACACACACACACACACACACACACACACACACACACACACACATTCTGTTCTTTTCTTATCTCATGTTATAAATAAACTGAGAGCAGAGGCTCTGGGCAGTCGCCTGTGAGCTTCTGCCCCAGATTGCAATTTGGATGCTTGTCCGGCTTATTGTCTCCTTTTCTCTTCGACTGCAGGTACTGGAATATTGATAAAATCCCTAACAAATGGCTTTTTAGCCAATCAAATTACACTTCTCTGATCACGTGACACCAGGGAGGCATTGACTCGATCCAGTGATGATTGCTTTGGCTTGCGACATCAGGAGGTCACCTCAGTTGTTGTTGAAAAGCTTCTGATGAAATGTTTACGTTGAAATTCTGTTGTAGATTGTTCAATGATGACTCTTTATGGATTAAAATTTTTGCTGATGTATTAAAAAAAATTTCAAATAGATAATGTCACAGAATTAAAATTAAATGTCAGATTCATGTCTAAATAAAAGTTGGACTATTTACACCATACACTTCAAAAACGTGCCTCCTTGTGGCCCATCAATGATAATGGTGGCTATTAGCTGCGTACTGCACTTCACAGACGTTACATGATGCTTACGCGGCCAGTGGGAAGCCGGGGTTATGCCTCAGTGTTTCCCCTAGAAATTTTCCAGCCGTGGTCGGGGGGGGGGGGGGGGGGGGGTTTGATTTTAGAGGCCGACCGATATACCAGGCCAATTTATTACATTTTTTCTATATTAAAAAAAATAAATTCAGGCACCTGTGTGGCCAACTACCGCCACTACTAGACTGAAGAAAGGACCCGAAGGACCCCGACACACTGTATGTATGTATGTAAGTAATGTAATTTCCGGACTTTAGAGCGCACCTCATTATAAGCCGCATCAGGGCTAAAAGCCGCACATATCGACTGAATTGAAAACGTAGTTTAACTGTCAGTGTCGCTCTCCGTGTTGCTGTCATCATTCGGGGGTGAAGTGGTGAAAACACGCAGCGCCGTTTTACTGTGAAAAAATCCTCCGTGGCGCTTTCCATAGAACTCCTTTCCAGCATCGATCCTTTTAAAGCCGCACCTCATTATGAGCCGCGTTCAAAGCGTGGGAAAAAGTAGCGGCTTATAGTCCGGAAAATACGGTGTGTGTGTGTGTATATATATATATATATATATATATATATATATATATATATATATATATATATACATATACATATACATATACATATACATATACACACACACACACATACATACATATATACATAAATCGGCCTTAATAATAGGCTTTAGATATTGGCCATTTGCAACAAAATTCTTTAAAAATCTGTATTGGCCTTAAATAAACCCATATCGGTCGGCCTCTAGTTGATTTCGTAGCTGTAGCACAGTGCCACACCTGAGTTTATGTCGGAGAAACACTGTTTTCACTGCAATTTCAATATGAAGACATTGCTTTTCGTATTGAAGTTACAATTCCTTGGACGCTTGTGCTGGATCCACAATGTCAGAATCCTCCACCCGCCTTTCTCTGACCACCTGATAGACAATTAAGTTTCTTTTTTAACTACTAAAGAAGCGAGAGAATCTTTAATGTCAGGGTTATTTCAGCCTTATCAAGCTGCTTTTGGGAAAAAGAGTAATTTTTGTTCAAAACAACAATCCAGTGGTGGTGCAATTATCATCTAGTCTCTTAGAAAAACAAAAATAGCCCCAAGATCTAACCTCAAGTTCAAAATAAAAGCACAGAACAAGTGACACTAATACCAACTTTGGTAGTTTTGGTGTTGGGGTAAAACCGAAGCTAATTACAAAGCATTCATCTGAAACCTAAAGTAGAAGTGTCTCAACACTCCATCCTAATCAGGTTGTATTGTGAGAGCCTGAAGATGAAAAAGATTGTTAAATATTGATGAAAAAGAATATTTTAATCGCCACCTTTATCAAAGTTTTACCAAAAAGGAGTGGACGTGAGAATAGGCTCAGCGGTCCCTGGGAGAGTGCATTAAAAGCTTTCTCACTCCTATCAAGAATCTCTGATGTGCTCCACAGCTCTGCTGACTCAGCACCCAGCGTGAATTAAGAGCTATTGATGTTAGCAGGTGAATTATGCATATGGTGGTTTATCTTTTGGTAACGTACTTTAAGTGTCCTTGCTGGGCTGATCGTTGGGTCGACTACTATGCGGCCGATGTTAGAACAGTGTCGCAAACAATTTAAATAAAACGCAAATCCATTTATTGATTTCTAGTGTTGCCTTTCTGGGAGAAGCTGCAGGCACTCGATTAACATTAAGGGTTAATAATTAAGAAAAAGCACATTAAAAAACAACTACTCTGCTCTAACTAAATGAGAAACTTTAATGTTATTTTCTTTGACTATTAAAGGTTTAACAGAACCATCAGTAAGAGATCATCGACGCATCACAAGTCGGTTCCTAAAATAAAAAGATTAAAATTGATTTAACAAATGTGATACACATTAGCAGTTTTGGCTTTACTCTTGAACCAAAGTTTTGGGGAAATGGGCATTTTCCATCAAACACAAGCTTTGATGAGAGGATCAGAAGTGTTTTTTCTTTCAAATGAACAGCTGGCAGCTCAGCGTCAGTGAGAGGTGGATAAGCGCTAACCCCATGTGCACCTACCTGGCTCACAAATTAACACATTTAATCTAAATTCTTTAAAGGTGGAATAGGAAAGGATTTCTAAAGCATTTTCCCCGTATTGTTTGAAATGCTCCTCAAACACCAAAGGCAACCAATAGATTAAATGTTTTGTAACAAAAAAGGAATCATTTTTAATCTTTGAAACGTACGATCCTGGAAAAACCTGACCCAATGATTGTAAACGTCCCGTTCTTAATGACTGGATCATGATCCATCCATCAAACTGCCCTCCGCAGTCTCTGTCTCCCTCCACTGCACATAACCCTTTACAGGGAGCCCAAGTCATCTACTTCCGGCCCACGGGTCCCCAGAAGAACAAAAAAATGAATGCAAGTCAACGGGGCTACAAACGCTATTTTCTATTTCAGCTTGTTATGTTCCATGGATTTCACATATGATGTCCGGGAATTTTAAAGAAGCATTGTGATACCAAGAATGCGCTTATTTTTGAACCGGGGGGGGGGGGGGGGGGGGGGGGGGGGGGCTATTTTAGGTTTTGTGTGAAAATAAGACCAGGAATACAAATGCACTTCACGAAAGTGACGTCATCAAACCAGGCACGGAGGAAAAGGGCTGTAAATTCAGCAAACTTCCCACAGGAGGAAAGAACCACCATAAATCTGGTCATGTGGTACGTAGCAGCTACACTAGGGGAGAGGAGATTATGTGGTGTAACATCCAGCAATGGTCAGTTTTCACCTACGTATTGACCTACATGCCATCGGTCATCTACAGACATGAATCTGCCTCTGTGCGTCTCTTAATCTTCCAAGTTGCAAGAAAAGATTCGACACTGCGTGTTTACACTCAGATTGTCAACATCATGTTCCCTTCTCAAGGTCCTTCAGTGCCAAGCCTGTCTGCTTATCTAGTTAAAGTTAAACATCATGACACATAGATATTTTCTTACCCACAAATCAGAGCATCCTGTATCTGAAAGAAGCCGTGATGTTCTGAGGTTTGCTTGTTAACACCCCTTAACATGGCACCTTCCGATTGGACAAGTAAACCATAACCTGAGAATATTAAAACAGAGCTCACGTCACCGTGAGTCAGTTCTAGAGAAAGCAACGGAACGGCCGTCCAGAACGAAACCTCTTTAATCCAGAGCGTTTTTTAACAAGCTGTCAAAAAACACTGCTACACGCTGAAGCTGACACAGCAAACGGTTCCTGCAGAACAAAGCTGATACAGTTCCGACTCCCCAAGAGTCCTTCTAGACGCAAACGACTCCATCTATCTGTTGGGACTCGGGGAAACATCTCTGGACTGGAGAGTCGGTGCTGTGGTTAATCTACTGAACCTTGGTGCCCAGAGGTCATCCGACCTTCCTGACCTCTGGATCTGCGAAGAGGGTCTTCCAAAAGGGCGAGGTAGACACAGCAAGAATCACGTCTGATGTGGTTTTGATAAGAATCAACTTCCTAGTTAATGCAAACCAAATTCTTTTTTTGTTTAACACCCAGAACTCAGTTCTTCTAGATACGAAGGTTCTGGTAACCTCACATTCACACACAGTCACCATACATCACATCCCATCCATCTAGACCCATTCACCACAGTAGTCTCAGGCCCTGTCCACACGTAGCCGGGGATCTGCCAAAACGTAGATATTTTTCTACGTTTTGGCCTGTCATCCACACGAAAACAGAGTTTTTTCACACGAAAACGGATCTTTTTAAAAACTTCGGCCAAAGTGAAGATCTGCGTTTTCTCCGTTTTGGGTGTCTGCGTGTGGACAGACAAAACCGGAGTTTTAAGGTCCGCAACGTCACTTTCCGCGACAAAAAATGCTGACATCACGTGTGCGACCTGTGTTTACACTAGCCGACAGCATGGATGCCCTCAGAGCTGCGCTCGCTTTATCAATTGTCCAAGCGCTTTTAGCTTGTTTGTTTTTGCAAGCAGAATTACTGCTCCTTGCGGAAGACCACAGACGAAGGACGAGGTTAAGAACGGGGGAAGTACTGCCGCCTACAGGTCTGGCATGTCCTTAACAACGTATTTATCCGGGTACGTGTGGACAGAGTTTTTTTTAAAACGAGGTGGTGTGGATGCAAGTTTTTGGAGGGGCGGATATTCGTTTTTTTAAAAACCCGGCTACGTGTGGACTAGACCTTAGTTAACTTGTCATGTTTTTAATTGTTTGAAAAATAAATTCTTACTTCTTAAAAACTTAAAACTCTTCTTGAATTAATATGAAGTGTCCTACAATCCCTGAATTAACAAAGAATTCTAAATCTTCTGGTTAAGACATTCAAAGACCAATCAGACGGGATTCCCATATTTAAATGGAAATTCACATCACACGGGTCAAAGTGTATGGTAGTATAATAAGCTTTAAAAGCACCCAAATACATACAATTATTACTACGCTACAGTGGTGATGTCACATATGCGACGTGCCGATTTCTGGTGTGTAGTCATGCTAATTACGAACTTTTACAAGCTAATAAATCTCAAAGTACGTGACTGGAGTGGTCGAAACACCCAGCATTACTTTTCATTTAAAAGTACAATTCAAGTGCAGTACAACATATGTGTGATCCAGGGCGTAAGGCTAAGCGGATTAGAAAACAGTGTTTTTAGCCCCGTTGACTTGCATTCATTTTTTTGTTCTTCCGGGACCCATAAGCCGACCGAAAAGAGAGAATTAGGCTTCCTATGTGCACAAACCGTGTGTTCTTGAACCCAGCAAGATTCAAAGTTTTACTCATTAATATTCATAATATTCATGACTTCACTCCTCTGATTGGCTAACAGAAACTCAACTGTTCCGCTGCCTTCGTTCACTTTTCATTATTGGGTAAAAAGAATGCAACATTGCTGTTTTATCTCCACAAATAAATCAAGCTCTAGAGTGTTCTGCCATGTTGGGTTGTGCGTGAAACGTTTGCTTCCGTATGTCGTCTCGAGAGCGTGGGGGGTGGGGTGGGCGCAGCGCCACGCCTGAGCCCGTGTAGGGGACGCACTGGAGAGGCATGAAAACATCTCCGATGCCACCTTTATGCTATAAAGTGTTGTTTTAAAGGCGTCAAACACTGATGAACCATTATTAGTGAACAGAAAAATGCAAAACTCAGATCAGCTCATCTAGCTCACAAGCTAATCCGCCAAATGCAGAAAAAAATGCTAAAACTAAGAAAATTGGAGGAAAGTATAGTAAAAAGAGTACAGACAGCTCTAACACGTGTCATGTCATCTTCACCACTATAGCTACACATCACTCCAGCACTTATCTACATCCACTCCGTGCAGCTTAAACTTACCCATCGTAGGGATAGCTGATGAACGAATGAGGAAACAGAAAATATGGCATTGAAAAGAAAGAAAAAAGAAAGGAAGAGAGCCAGAGGAATGAAAAGAATGTCTTTTACATGCAATCCTAGCTCCACACATCAGAGAGTGTAAAACTTACAGCAGCATGTCCTGCTGGTTCTTCTGAAAGACGGTGCCAATGTGCTGGAAGATCTCCGGGTTAAAGAGGTATATACCGCAGTTAATGATGTCACTCACAAACGTACTGGGCTTTTCCACATAATGCAACACCTGTGAAGAGAAACTGGTTTGCTTTTTGTTCTACGGATCATTAAGGACTTATTAATTTCAGAGGCATTAAAAAGTGAAAAGAGGACTACCTCATTTGTGTTCTCGTTTTCCACAAGGCAGCCATAATTCAACGACTGCTTCCTGTTTGCCTGAGAGGACAGAAACATGGTCTCGTGTTTCAACAACAGCATTTTGGAATCACTACATTAAAAAGCAGCGGGTGTCAATCCAAAAGTCTCACCGTTGTCCCGAGGATAACAAAGCTGTTCGGTTCTCCGTGTTCCTTCTGGAAGATGAGCATCTCTGCCAGAGGGAACGCTGAACAAACATCAGCATTCATTACAAAGAAAGCTTCAGGATTGCCAGAGAGAATCTGATCTCTGAAGTGATAGATGCCCCCTCCTGTGCCCAGGGCTGCATACTCCTGTAAATACCTGCAGTGCAGAGTCAAACAGAAGGAAATACCTGCAATCAGTCAGCAACGCTGGTGTCTAACGCAAGGAAAATCATTTCCCCAGGCTGGAAATACAAATCAATGGATACGTCTTAATCTTAAATGCAAACTGTTTGCTGAGGTGAAACCATCCACTCCATCGTTTACCTGATGGGGATTTTGAACTCCTGCTGAGAGTTAAACAGAAATCTGTTCAGCTCTTCGTTTGGCTGATAAAAACCGATGATCAAAATCTCCTTCATGTTTGGCACCTGGAAATAGGAGATAATCCAGATTAAAACTTTAAAGAAATCATCAGCACTATAGCGGACTCGTTATAATTTTATTAAAGGTTGAATATGGGACACGGACACTCTGGCGACATCTAGTGTTTACAGGTGGTAGCTGCAACAACAAAAATAATTTCCCAGCCGTTGGGGTGTTGGTTCACTGCTGACACGTTAAGTGGCCATCGAGCACCGTGTCCAGTGACAAACCGTACTAAATAACGACTAATTTCTACTAATAAGTTCTATTCACAACAATATTCACTGTTAGAACATCTTGTGGGCTGCTTGACTCGCCATTTTACAGTCCCAGCCTCACCTTGGTGAGCGGATGTTTTAGCTCAACAGTGCCCTCTTGTGGCTGGTAGATGTAAACATAAACCCAGTGTCGTGTCCGACAAAATAAAAATGTGATTATTTATTTTTATGGTACAACTTTTAAAGAAAAAACTACATTCATTCTGCACACCTCTAAACACCCCGTGAAGGTATTATTTTAAAAATATAACTTTTTATTAAAATGTTCCATATTCCACATTTAACCAGTCAAATAAGGTTAACGAAGCCAAGGTAAAAATGTAAAAAAAACTGTGCAAAGCATGAGAACGAACCAAAACAATAATATTTTTTCTGTGAGTTCACTATTTACACAATGATCACTGAAAACATGATGCGAAATCTGAAAACAAATCCAATTTGAACAAATCTTTGACTGCTTTTTTAAACTGACTATAAACTATTTGTTTTATTTAGTCATCCATTCATTAAGCATTATAATACATTTGTTACAAAGTTAAAGTTTGTTCTCATTTTTGGTTTTCGACATGGAAAAAAACAAGTTTTATCCACATCTAGAGCATCTTTCTACTTATACAACTACAAAACTTAAACTGTTCAAATCTGGACTACATTATTCTACATTTAAATAACACTAAGTAATTTTTAAACTGTAAGCTTGAGCTTTAGCATTGATCTTGGTGATTGTGATAGAAACTTGACCAGTTTAATATTAGACACCACTCTGAAAACCCTCTGCTGACCAGATATCACACTGAACAGTTTTGTGGAGCGGGTAGGTGCCTAGGGGGCGCTCTTTACCAGCTTTACAGCTGTTAGCTGTAATGCTAGCATTTAGCTTTTTCAGTTTACCGATTGTCAATAAAAAGCACAAGAAGAAGAAAACTGCTTTTTTGTTGGCATAATAGCGGAGTTTGTAAGTAAAAGTTTAAAAAATGTCGTTGGAGGTGAAGTAACTCGCTATAACCAGAGTGAACACCTGTGGGGCCTACGCAACTTTGAGGGAACTAAAGGAGGCTACATAATCACGGACTGATGGTGACCTGGCTTTGCAGATGCTGAACTTGTAAGTTGTAATATTTTTTATCAGCAGTGAGAATCTTTTTACTTTGTTATTTATTTTAGTATTAGTTGGCTCATGTTAGTGTTAGCTCGTTGCCAGTGCTAGCTACAGCTTGCTGCTGCTGCAGGGTTGTTTACCCATCCATCTATCCATTGTCTTCCACTTATCCAGAGTCGGGTTGTGGAGGCAGCAGCCTAAGCTGAGAGACCATGACTTCCCTCTCCCCAGCCACTTGGGCCAGCTCCTTCAGGAGAACCCCAAGGTGTTCCCTGGCCACCCAAGGGACGTCCCTCCAGCAAGTTCTGGGTCTTCCTTTAGACCTCCTCCCAGTTGGACGTGCCCAGAAAATCTCACGAGGGAGGCGTCCAGGAGGCATCCCAACTAGATGCCCGAGCCACCTCAACTGGTTCCTCTCGAAGTGGAGGAGCAGCAGGTCTACTCCGAGCCCCTCCTAGATGACCAATCTCCTTACCTTTATCTATGAGGGAAAGCCCAGATACCCTGCGGATAAAACTCATTTCAGCCGCTTGCTCGCTGTCCCTCGTTCTAGGTGTCGTACTCGCGGGGACCGGGCTTTCTCAGTCTTAGCACCGTCACTCTGGAACCAGTTGCCACCCTCAGATAAGCCCCATTCCCACCTGTACCGGGTCGGCCCGGGCCGGGCAGCGTAGGTTGTTTACATATCTGGGTGGCTTGGAATTTTCCCGGGCCAACCAAGGCTCATTCTCAGCCCTCTTCTGGAGGGGGTCTGCTTCAGGCCGACCAGGGCCAACACACCCACTGCTGACAGCAAATTCACACCTTCCATTAGAGCAAGCCTCTGATTGGTGGGTAGAATCAGCCCACATGGGCTTAAGACATGCTCAATTCATTATCATTCATTATCATGCTGATTACCCAGAAGCTGTCTCTGACTGCATACCTAAGCAAGGATGTGTGGAAACAACCGGGCCAGGCTGGGGCCGACTGGGGCTACCCGGCCTGGGCCGACCCGGTACAGATGGGAATGGGGCTTAGGCTGTCCCCATCTCTGCCAGTCTTTAAGAGTCGCCTAAAAACCCACCTCCTCCGCTTGGCGTTTCCTGAATGTGTTTGAATTTGGCCCTCTTGTATGTTGATTTTATTTCCCTGTTTTCATTGGGTCACTCTCTCCCTTGTTTTACCCATTTGTCTTCTACTAGAATGTTTTACCTTTTTTTGGTAATTTGTAATTTAAATTACTTTTATTTTCAATTTATTCACCATATTTAACTTTCTCTTGTACCATGTTCAGCGCCTTGGGCTTCCCGATAGGGTTGCGGAAGGCGCTTTATAAATAAAGCTTTGATTGATTGAATGATTGTATCTACTACCCAAAGCTCGTGACAAAGCATAGGTGAGGGTAGGAACGAAGATCGACCGGTAAATCATGAGCATCGCCTTACGGCTCAGCTCTCTCTTCATGACGACAAACTGATGCAACGCCCGCATCACTGCAGATGCAGCACCAATCTGCCTAGGGTTGTTTACAACAGCTGTAATTCCACTTTCAACCAGTAAGGCAGTGGAGCAGGAAACTGCTCTGTGTTGCTTTAACAGCAGAATACCTAAAACACAGTTTGTGATTTGTGAAATTTCTCAAATGAAAAATGATTTAAGAAGGGGAAAGTCCAATTCTACCAGGGTGTCTAATGTATAATGTAGTCAGGAAGACCAAATGTGGGGGTGAGTGTAGATATTCTGCTAGGATGGGGTTGGGTGGGCAGCCATGGGGCTTTAAGCGTCACAGTTTTTGAGCTGGACCAGTCTTAATTAGGTCCAGCCCAAAAAACTGCAGAAATCTGCCTGGTATGAACTTTCACAAATCAAATAAAAGTTCACAAATCACTGATTAAGTTTTACAGATTCTGCTATTAGTGTAGATACAAATAGAATAGACTTTATTGATCACACAGTGGGGAAATTCCCTTGCTACAACAGCATCCACAAATAAAAAAGAAGATAATAAGATTACAGATAAACACATGCTATTATTGTGACCTTCAACCACTAAAAACAACAAATAAAAGAAGACATGGCTATCTAGACCTATGCAGCATCAGGGACACAGACATTATAATTAGGGCTGCAAAATAAATCTTAAAAAATCGTGATCTCAATTCATATCTGTATGCAATCTTGATCTTAAAACGATTTTAAGCAGCTGGCTAGATACTAAAGGACTGTGTTCTCTGTTGTGGTCCTGCTATGGTCAACAACAATCATGTTGTCACATTATATTTTGAGAATAATCGTGGTTTACATTTTAAGAAACATACCTATTACCTATCTTTCTTATCACCTTACAAGCAGAGAATATTGTTCAAAATTGTTATCGTTTAAATTATTCAAAAGTTGTGTACGTAAGAGACGATGAGACACATTTATTGTTTTCATGTTCAGTGACGGCTGTAACGAAGTTGATGAGCAGGTAATAAGTGCAATAAATACTTATTTTGGAAGAAAATTATGAGAGAATCGTGATCTCAGTTCTAAGCAAAAAAATCGTGACTCACATTTTAAGCAGAATTGTGCAGGCCTAATGTACATCTTGTATTGCACATGCATTGAACACATATGGAGTATTGCAATGATGTTATTGTGCATCAGGATAATGCCAGTACCAGTTAAACTCTTACTGCAGAGAAGAAGAAAAGATCTTTTCTATACCGCCTCTCAAGATAAAAATCACGAGGCGCTTCACAAAAACAAAAAATATAAAAACGAATTTAGAAAATGATTAAAAATATATTTAAAATGAGCAAAAATAGACAGTTGTGATTAAAAATGTTAAGAAAGAGAGAGACTGAATAGGAAAGAAGGAAATCAGTGGATCCTGAGGAAGGTGGAATAGGTGGGGAGAGCAGAATAAAGAGAGAGTGGTGAAGAAGGTCATACAAGAGCCAGCTTGAACAAGTGAGTCTTCAGCTGCTTTTTAAAGGAGACCACTGAGTCCACTGATCTCAGGCTCAGGGGGAGAGAGTTCCAGAGTCTGGGGGCCACAGCAGCAAATGATCTGTCACCTTTGGTCTTTAGCCTGGTGCTGCACAACCAGTAGGCTTTGATCACTGGACCTCAGGGACCTGCTGGGGGTGTAGGGACTAAGAAGATCACCAATGTAAGATGGTGCTTGTCCATGTAAGGCCCTATAGACCAGAACCAGGATCTTGAAATGAACCCTGAAGTTGACTGGCAGCCAGTGAAGCTGGAGGAGAAGCGGGGTGATGTGGGTGTGTTTGGAGGACTTGGTCAGAAGCCGAGCACAGGCGTTCTGAACCACCTGTAGACGGTTCAGGGAGGTTCTGCTCAGACACGTGAAAAGAGAGTTACAGTAGTCTAAGCGTGAGGAGATGAAGGTGTGGAGAACTGTCTCAAGTTCAGAGCGGGACAGAATGGGACTCAGCTTAGCAATGTTCCTGAGATGGAAGAAGGAAGAGCGAACAAGAGAACTGACATGAGAATCCAGGGTGCGAGCTGGGTCAAAGGTCACGCCAAGATTCCTGACAGAAGTTTTGGTGTGGGAAGCAAGCTGACCAAGAGAGTCTCTGACTTTGGGAACCAGCTTGTCTGGGGCACAGATGAGGATCTCAGTCTTATCTTCATTCAGCTGTAGAAAGCTCCCAGCCATCCAGGCTTTAATTGAGTCTAAGCAGGTGTGTAACAGCTGCAGCTTAGACATCTCATGGGGCTTAAAGGAGATGTACAGTTGGATGTCATCTGCATAAAGATGGTTGGAGATTCCTTTGAAGGAGCTCAGGATGTGCTGAAGAGGAAGCAGATAGAGGAGGAAGAGCAGAGGCCCCAGCACAGAACCTTGTGGGACACCATGGGTAAGAGAGGTGGTGGAGGACCTAAACTTGGAGACGGCCACAGAAAAGAAGCGCTCAGAGAGATAAGAGGAGAACCACTCCAGAGCAGATCCTGATAGGCCTACCCAGTCTCTCAGCCTCTCCAGTAGCAGGTGATGTCAACAGTGTCAAAGGCTGTAGTCAGGTCCAGCAGGACCAGAACAGAACAGTCCCCTGCATCACTGTGACCCCTTCTTTCCACCAGAGCCGTCAGCAGCACGTTACTGCAGCAGCACGTCTTGCTCGTGTAAGTTGCTGCTTGGCCCTTCCCACGAGACACGAAGCAGCAGGGGAGCAGCTGTCACCGACAGAGCACAAAGTCACGCGAGTTTCAGAGGCGTCGAGCGTAGAAAATAGAACCGGCGCGTAAAGGCCGCGACATGCTGCTCCTGAGACGCGGCCGACTCGCGCTGCTGACGGCTCCGGTGGAAAAGGTTCTGTTGACCACAGCGGTTCCTATCAGCAGCTATGACGTGCTGCTGCAGTAACATGCTGCTAACGGATCCTGTGGAAAGCAGGGGTGAGTCAGAAGGTCATTAGAGACCCTAAGAAGAGCTGTTTCAGTAGAATGAGCTCTACGAAAACCTGACTGTAAGCAATCATAGATGTTATGTTCATTAAGAGCAGCTGTGAGTTGAATAGCCACAACCTTTTCCAAGATCTTGGAGATGAACGGAAGTTTAGAGATGGGTCTGAAGCTGCTATGGAGAGAGGGGTCAAGACTCGTTTTTTTAAGAAGCGGGTGGATTACAGTATTCTTAATGTAAGCAGGGACCTGACCAGAGGGGAACCAGGAACCTGTTCAGAAGGGATGAATGACCTACGGTAGTGTTCCGTTTCACATCTGGGATGTCTCAGTCTGCCACTGAAGTCTCGTCTAGAATCATCTAGATTGTTTAGGTTACAAAAGTCTAGGTATTTTATGTCTAGATGAGATGAAGGATGCTCAGGGAGTGGAAATTTTAGGTGGAATTGCACTTTCCGATATGGCTGCTCTGGTGGTCTGCCTGTATCTGTTTTGTCTATATGTATGTGTGTAACCTTGGTCAGGCTGTTCTGTGGAGTCAAGTTCCTATGCTCTGGTTCGCTGGAGCGCTGGCAATAACATTCTTTCTGATTCTGAAAAGTAAAACTGGCTTTGTTCACTTATTCTGTAGTAAATAATGGAGTCGCTCACCTTGACACATGCTTCGATGTGATGCTGCAGCATGGGAACACCAGCCACAGGAAACAAAGGTTTAGGAACTTCAAACGATAATGGTCTGAACCTGGTGCCTAAATAAGCAAAACACACAAATAACTTTGTTCAAAAATCGCTTTTCTTCTACCTAAAAATGCTCTCAAAATAACACATTAGTTGTATTTTCAAAGCTTCAGGGTCAAAGTAAAATTAGCATCTGGAAGAAAGGACAAATATAAATATATTGTTTAATCTTAAACACGCCTATTTATAAATAGAAACACGTTACAAATATTTTTGATTAAAGGTTTAAGAGGACTAAAACTAAAACAGCTATTTGTCTGACAAGTTATTAAAGTTGTTTTGTTTACATAAAGGGATTAAGCCACGTCAGTCATAAACAAGCTCAGCTAGTCTGTTAGCATTAGCTGCCTAGCTTCTCTTTAGCCTAACACATCACAAACACATCAGCTACAGAGAGCCACAGTGTGTTTAATTCATCCTCACCTTTTTGTGGCCCCCCGATTAAAATAACAGCTTTCAACATCTTGGCTAAGAGGAGAGCTGATAGACACAACAACCTGATGGACTAGCTTCCAGCAGCGGTTTGGTTTCCGCATCTACGCAGATGACGTAGCGAAGGTAACCGGACAAACCCGAAGTGGAACACGTTTACTGGAACGGACTCAGGGTCAAGGGGTCATAAAACGATTTGAAAACGCCTTTTTATTTTATTCACGAGGCAGGCTCAGTGGTAAATACTTCTGTTAAAAAACGCATTATTTATTTACTTAAAGACATTAAATATCACAATTTTCTTTGTTGTTGAAAAAGCACTTTCTATTTAGTAGCAGTGTCATACTCACTTACATGATGATAATTAAATCATCATTACATCATATAATACATTTTTTAAAGGTGCAAACAGGAATGTAAACCTATTTGCTTCTATCTCTTACATGTAACAAAATATTTATTTTTTTAATAAATAAAATATAGAATATATCCCTGACTATAAAGTGTTTTAACTTTGCAACAAACAGAACAAACAACACACCATAATTTCATTCAACTAAACAAAAGAAACAAAAGAAAGTAACCAATTTGACAAAGAAAAACGAAAGAAGAATTTCACATCTATTCAACTTTCTTTTAAGAACATAAACCCCCTTTCTATTTAGTAAATAATAACCTAGAGAATCTTTAACGGTACCAGTGTGTATATAATTTCCTAAATCAGGGGTCCTCAACTAAATTTGTTCAAGGGCCGGATTGTTTTTTACAGCAGACACCATGGGGGCCAGACGCTATTCTTAAATAAAGTTAAGGTATTGTATCAATTTATTAATAATTAAAATGGCTTTGTTTTCCATCTAAACTGTTATATTACAGTTTTAGTTGTGTTTGCAGAACAAACATTATTGATATTGGGGACATGAAATTTGCTGCCAAACTTCCAAGTGCCTCAACTGGGGGGCATTAGGGACAAAAGGGTTGGGGGGGAGTTCTGTCAGGCCGCCAGCTGAGGCTCACGGTCCTACACCATGGTTCTCAAACCTCTCTCCTTGAGGACCCCCTTGCCCGTGTCTAAGACAAGCCAGGACCTCCAACCCCAACACAGATACACTCATTAAATGAGATACTTTACACACTTTAAACATACAGATAAAAGTTTTATACAGATTTTTGATTACTGTAAGGTGTAAAAGTAATATTTACAATAAAACCTATCAGCACAGTCAAACTTTTGGGGGCCCCCCGCAATTTTGTGAAGACCCCCGTTGGGGGTTACGGACCCCAGTTTGGCAAACACCGTCCTAAACTACATTTCTTTGCAGGAGTTGGCCTTGTAATCTGAGTATTGATAAATTACTAATAAAATAATTACTGGTAATTGACCAAGCAGAGGAATTATAAGACACGGAAGAGAGCTGAGAACATCATCTTATTTATCCGTTAAATTATGTGGGTTTTTATAAAATGCAGCATTTTAAATTTAAATATCTAAGTAAAGTTATCAAAGTTAAAATAAAAAAATATTCACGAGAAAAAAAAGCCCCCAAAAATTCTGTAACCACAGAAACTTGTTTCACATCGTATCATGAAGTGGGTTAAGCTCATATATTAAAAGTTGTTTTGGTGGGAAAAAGAAATAACTCATCTGTCAGTTTCAGCAGTCATAAAACAACCGTTTCATACCTCCTCATTAAAACGTAACCTGAAGAAAAACCGTCTCCCGTGTGGTGGTATTCATAACTCAAACACATGTAAATGAGAAAATCTGCATCAAACAAATAAAATAATGTTTGAGTCAACAATCAGCAGGGAGAGAGGGTCCCGTTATAGGCACCTTTGGAGGAATGTGAAGCACGTTTTGAATGTTTCTTGAAGTTAAAACATTTATTTTGTTCTGGTTCAGAAACACTGGAGCAGCTTTTTTAATATCTAAAATGGCTTTAAAAGGAACCGCTATAACACACTAAAATATAGTTTATTTTGTCATTTGTCAAGTTATAGCAATTTTTTTTCAAGCTGGAGCTAATTAGGTCAGGATATTCTTCCAAAGTTCAATTTATTATATCACAGCATATTTATCAGCATGTTCAAGAACTCGTACGATTTAGGTTTCCATAGTTTAAATAAAAAAATACATGTTTTATTAAACTGTACAGTGCATTTTAACACTTGAGAGACATTAACTAGTCACATTTTCCTTTGAATCATTTGCTGCACATGTATGTTTAGAACATGTTGTACAGCCATCACCTTCTTCATAAAGCCGGTCAGAAATGTTCCCTTTAACATTTTAGTCAGTTTACAGCTCATCATCTTCATTCACATTAAATGAGTTAAATAAATGTTTCAATTGTTGTGCGACGTCTTAAGTCTGAAAACAACAAAAAACAGAGATCCTTGTGCTTCTCCAAGCAACACTGAAACTCTTGAATCTTTTTCAATTCCATTAAAAGAAAAATGAACATCCCTTTAAATATGAAAACAAATTTCTTGTGCAAAGACAATATGCTGAGGGAAAATGTTTCAACTTTGGCTTATTTTTAGGTTTCTTTTGTCATAAACTTTGATTTAAGTAAAACCGTGTGGTCTTTTTTACAATCTGACACAAACACAACGCATTAAAGAGGCTTTAGCCTTTTGTGAAACCTAAAGCATCATTATTATGGTTTACAAATAATATCAAATGTTCAAAAAACATTCCTAAAAATAATAAATAAACAAATACTAGAAAACAATTGTCAACCAAAGAGCAACTATTCAGTACCTAAAACTACTGAGTGGTGTAGCAAAATGCTAGCGTTGTGTTTCACAAGCTAATGCTGACAACGGAGAATTAGCAAATGTCCACTTTCTCAGAGTTTTTGACAGAATCTTATTTGGTGCCGTAAAAAAAAAAGTTTTCCCCCTTTCAGAGTTTAAGTGTGATTTTTTTTAGAAATCCATAAAGGAGATTATCTTGTATCTTATCATGTATTGTGATATAAAGTAGGAGATTCGTTTTTTTAATTTATTTTTTTGCTAAGGCCGCCTCCCGTCCCACAAAGCCTTGAGCCATTTGAACTGTGCACCGTTCTACCAAACTGAGCAATGACCAACAATGTTCGACATCCGCTTGGGAACAGATGTCAGTCACAGAGCCTCTTTGAGGGACGCTATCCAGCAGGTTTTAGTGTTTTCCTTGTTTCAATACCAGACATCAAAACAGGTCACTGGTGAAAATTTAGTACACCCAAGTCCAATCCGACCCGTCGGTACGCCGTTCAGGCTCGGATCGTACAAGCAGGGAAGAGCCATCGTCTGGAGGTCTACACAGGAGACTTCCAGACGAGCTGCCTTCGTGCAGGTCGCGCGTCACCGGTTCCGACATTTAAAAAAAAAAAAAATTCTACTGTTGGTGGCGTCGGGTGCGTCTTAAAATCCTCTTGAATATTTCCCCCAGTGGATAATTGGTTAAAAGCCGAAATCGCTATACAACCCCCAGATATTATCTCATCAGATCTGCACAAATCACGTAGGTGGCCCATTTTGGATTCAAAACGGCGAATTTCGCTGAAAGGTGAGGGATTTTCATGTCTGCAATACACCTGATATCAATCAACAGGTGATTAACTGGCTTCTGCAGAGCTTGATGAGCTGCTGAACAGGTGAATCAACTTTGCTGGAACCGGGAAACAACCAAAAGATGCAGGATACCTGCCCTCGAGGACTGGAGTTGCCCACTCCTGAAATAGACAGATGCCGAGGTGGCGACCTTTCTCACAGACAACTCTTTAAAAATATATATATTTAAAATATATGTATGAATAATTGTAAAATAATGTGTTTTAGCTGCATTTGCCAGCTAGAGGAGCGTGTTCATTAACAAGAAGCATTGCTTTAAGGAAAAGTTAGAACAGCTAAAGTTGCTGTACCTTTGTCAGCCACTAGATGGTGACGCCTGATTAAAAAATACTGTAGTAAACATTGCAGTTTTAACATTCACTTTTGTGTTGACAGGCCAAACCGTAGAAACATTTCTTCATTTTCTGGGATAGTCCCAGTACACATGTAGCTGGGTATCCCACAAAACAAAAGGTAATTTTCAAGTTTGGCCAGCCGTCCACACGAAAGGGAAGATAAACGACACCATCAACAATTCTTCAAAAGCCTCGAAAAAAGGTGGAAATTTGTGAAGTCTCCATTGTCAGCATTAGTTGGTGGACATAAATAATGAGGGTTTTAGGTTTCGTACCATCCTGCCCAAGAAAAAAAGCGCTCTGAGGGCACATGTGTGACCTGTATTCACACCAACTTTCTTGGTTTTACAAGCTCTGTGTAGATGGCCACAGGTGAAGGACAATGTTAAAGATGGCTATTTCCCACTTTCTAGTCATTCCACATCCAAGGAACGTTTTTCCGCAAAAATTTAAAAATTTTGTGAACTACTGCCACCTACAGGTTTGGCATGCATATGAATGTTTCACAATCTGTATCTTTTTCTGACAACGACGCGGTGTGGACCCACGCTTTTTCCTAGCCATTCGCTTTTACAAAAACCCGGCTAGGTGTGTACGTGGAAAATAACCAAACAGTACTCATGAATTGAACAGTACAAACTGAAATGAACTGATAACAGATTCAAGAGTCCCACATTTCTGAATGCCCATTCAGGTTTCTAAAATGTGCCAACCTTTTCCAAAACCTCAGGAATGAGCTGAGCGATTCGCTTGTATGGTGTGCTTCACCATCCTCTGAGCTACTCTCTCCTGTTGTAGACATCTTTGCGTTTCCGTAACTCCTCTAGAACCCGCGCCCTGAACTGGGTCCAGTCTTCATCCTGAAACTGCTGGATCCCCAGAGCCTGATGGAGCTCTGCGGAGTGGCTGCGCAAGAACGGGTTGTACTGCTTCTCTTCCCCGATAGTGGAGGGACTCTGAAATCAAAGAGAAAACTACAATAAATCGTGCTTTATTCACTCTTTAGCGGAAAGGCAGTGGCATCTGTACTTTTACAAAAACACACACTTTTGATTAAAACATCTTCCCAATTATGATGCCTTTGTGTAACCTACATCTGGAACCACACGGAAAATAAAAAGTCCAGAAAAGAAAATTACAGACATTACCCGACACAGTGAATGAAATCTGAGTGTTGTTTATCTGCTTCTGTATCCTGGCACTGTGTGTGTGTGTGTGTGTGCCAGTGTGCCGTCACACTGTCGCAGCTTAGGGGGACACTTGGATGGGATGGACTCTGTTAATCTCATTAGTAGCACCTGCGCCCTTCCTGCTATAACAAACCAAAAACAAGTCTGTGTGAAGTAGGGCTGCTCGATTATGGCAAAAACAATAATCACGATTATTGTGACTGAAATTGAGATCTCGATTATTTAGGACGATTTTTCAATTTATGTTGATTTTATTTGTTTTTATTCAGTCATAAAATTGCTCAGGGCACAATCAGGACAAAAAGAAATAAGAAACAAGATGATCACTAAAAGAACTCCTGATTCCCAGTATAAAAAGACCAATATACTTATAGCTCATAGTCTATGACCCAAGGGCTATAGACCTTGGTTTAACTCATTTAAGTCTAACCAGTACAGACCCAAATAACAATATCTTGCAAAAACTGACAGCAAGAATTATACAGTGGCATTTATAACAAATAAATGCAAATAAATTGATGTTCACTAAATGTTGCATAACATTTATTGAGTCGTGTCAAGGTGCTGTAGGAGAGTGCACTAGCACCGTGTCCTCAGAGAGATTAGTTATTATTTATCAGCGTGAGGAACTTATTTCTACCTTATTTATAAACTATTTATTTACAGGTCCATCAGTTAATGTAATAATTGTCCCAACCACAGCTGCACCCACCCCCCACCCCCACCCCCACCCCCCAACCTGGTCTCACAGCAATCGGGGCAAACTGCACGTGTGTTTAGCGTGCCGCACGCGCACATTTAGCCGTTTTTAGCGGCTCAGGAGTCCGCAGGTGCGGTGTGTGTGTCACTCACTCTGGTTACTCCAACAGGGAGCCGGCTCCGAGAGCTGTCTTTAGCGACTGACACATCACTACATCATTCCCTTTCCTAATGTCCTGAAGAACGGTCCGGAGCGCAGGCGGAGTGTTTAGCTAACCTGCAGGAAACGTCGACGACTGTTATCCAGAAAGTAGCTAAGGGTTACCAGAGATGTTTCTCAGGTGTTCGCTAGGTACTTTTAACATTTAAAAAGTTAAGAAGGGGGTCTGAAAAGCTGTTAGAAATAGCGTCAAAGTCGCCAAGTTGGCAACACTGTGGGAGGAGCGCTTCATTTGCAACTCAGGGCAGCGCAAGAAGGAGGAGCAAATAATCGGCTTGTTTTGATTTTTATAATCGTTCAAAACTCAGATCGTAATCGTGATTAAAATTCGATTAATTGAGCAGCCCTAGTGTGAAGTCAGATGTGCTTTCGTTTTTCAAAAACATTCAAAGAACATTCACCAGTAAGTCTTTTTAAAACTGGTGTGGGATTAAAAACGGGGCATGCAGCTTTAAATGTATTAATTTACTTTTCAAAATAAAAGGAATAACGGCTCAAATGGCGTTCTCACAATTTACTACAAAGCTTTTTGTACTCATGATCACTCAGTGAGTTTATCAAATGAATGGGAACTAAATTTTGGGTGGCAAAATACTGAAAAACAACCTCGACTTGTTGATGGCAGATAAAAAGTAATCTAAATTCTAGGTAAGCCCTGACCAGAGACATCTCTGCTCTGCTGCAGACTGTATCACAGATGAAACCCGAGCGTAAGCCATGATGAGGGACGCGAGGCTTTGACAGCCCATAAAACTGTATGCAGGTGATAAAGCCTCGTTTCCCCTGGTGCAGGCAGACATGGATCCTTTATGGGATGGTGCACTTGAGAGGCATAACAATGACGATGCATCTTTCTTACCGTGCAGAGTTTCTGGCCTCGCTGCTGTGCTACCAACTGATATTTGTTTTCTCTGGAAGCATTATGGGGCTCAACCTTGGTGGCGAACAGCAGGTTATCCTCTGCATACTCATGACCTGAGAGATTGGAAAAGGAGATGCACATAAAATATATTAAAGATTTTTTTTCTGGTTGCTTCTATTAACCAACACTTAGTTTAAAAGGAACCGTATCATGCTCGATTTATTTTTTTGAGGTGTTGAGAATGTTATATTGTTATTTCCTCATCAAAAACAGCCCCAAAGCGGGTTTTATCTTTAAGCATGCATCCTCCTGCCCAGCCGCCATTGCAAACAGCTGAATGGGACCTGTTAGCCTAATCCTGTCCCACCCCTCCCCATAGAGGAAGTGCCTAACATGCATGGACTGGACTGTATACACTCACGCCCACTCTCTCAAAGTTGCGAGCAGCAAGCAGGTGATTTATCCTTCACAGCTGTAAAGAAGTGACTTGTTTCTTATCTAGTCTGCACTTTTGATAATACCTAGAATGTGAAAATGCGTTTTCGGCTGTGAGAGGTACAGGAATTTGTTCTGTCTTCCTGAAGAAGAGTTGAATCGCCAGAGATAGTTGGATTTTACCATCAGGAGCTCAGACTGTTGTGTAAATAAATAGTAATGTTGTGGAAATATCCTGTTGTTGTTGCTTTATGGTCAGAAATAAAACAAATAATCAAATTTAACAAAGAATGAACCCAAAGTTGTGATATACAGTGAAAATAATAAGATTCATGCTTGGGATGCATAACACGTCTGTAAAAAACCTCTTCCAGAGGAGGAGTGACTTTGTTCTTCATCCATTAACTCCTGCAGATCACTGACTAAACAGCTTTTTCTTATTTTTACTGTCATTTCTGTCCTTCTTGCTTCTGTTTGTGCCAAATGCAACAACCTGCTGCACATCGTGGACATGTTTGCCTACATAACATTAGGTTTGCTTTGTGACTGATGCTGGGAAGGAGCAGATAGTGAGACGAGTCGAGGCTCATCTAGCACTTGTGCTGCACAGTAAAGCTTGGTTTATGCTTGACGCATTCACTTTCTGCTTGGTGATGCGGCTCGCGGCTGGAACGTGCTTCATAACTTGCAGCGTTTATGGTTCGTGCGGCTCGTCTCTGCGGTGAGCCAATATTCTCCCAAACTGTAGGGGGCAGCATGGAGCTCTACGGCATGCATCCAACACTAGACCATAGTAGAAGTAGAAATTACTGTTTACAACATGGCATTCCAGCATTTTTAACAGCGTCCTTGTCTTTTCCGACAGTGCGAGCTATTTCTCTCCAAGAATTATTAACAACATGTTGATCACGGTGATCTTTGAGAGCTGAATCATACAAATGTCTGTATTTACGAACCTCTGCCATTCTAGATCTTGCCGGTCCGCCATGTTTTTCCGCGTCTGACCGTCCGCGTGGTTAGAAAATTTCCTAGGTGCACGTTGCAGAAATTTTGGGCCGTGCGGAGATGCGGTGGAGGGGCGTGGTTGTTAAAATGACGCAAAATGACGCAACTTTTCCGCGCGGAGCCGTGCGGACCTCGCGGACGCGTCAAGCATAAACCAACCTTTAGTGAACCTGCGTGTCTGAGATTTAACGACTCAATCCTTCTACCTTTAAAGACTGATGAAAACTTGAATGTTAAGCATCTCATCTGTGACCAAGGTAAATTGTATTCTGCCTCAAACAGCTGAAAAGGTTTTTCCTACCCGGCCATAATAGAGTATCGTCACTTAAGGAGCTAACTGTGTCCAGAGATGAAAGCATTGTCGTGGAGCTCCCTTCAAACATTCTCCCTGGAGACAAAAGATCCAATTAACGTTTTTACTGAATTACAACAGAACAACTGTGAACAAATGACATAATAAAGAGCTTTAACGGTTTCACTTTAACAGAGAATCTCATTAAGTTATGTTCACTTAGGACAATATTTAAAAGTAAAAACAAAAACTGAAAAAAAAAGCTTTATGCACAAAAGTGCTGTGCAACCCACCACATCCAGAGAGGAACACCAGGTCACCAGAGAAAAGGCTGGAGGGGGCACCAACCGCCGGGCCATCCAGCAGATAGATCATGTGGCCCACCGTGTGTCCAGGAGTGAAAAGGGCTTTAAAGTTCATTCGACCAACGACTACCGAGTCTTTGTGTGAGAGAGGACTAGGAAAAAAACAGAATTAAAAGAAAAAATAATTATTATTAAAAACTACCTTTTCGGGACGCAAACTCATAACTGAAATCCCAATGAGTCTAAACAAAAGCATTTATCATACTAAGATCATTTACTGTGAAGTCAGCTGCTAAGAGTGTTGACAGAGGTAACAAACAGGACTCAGTAGAAGAAAACCGGCCCGGCGCATGCTGGAACTTACTGTGTGAGGCCAGGAATGTTATCGGCAGCGTTTCCGTACACTCGACATGAGCCGTGGAGCCTTTTCAGCCCTTTATTGCCCCCACTGTGGTCCCTAAAAATGAATGAGAAGTGATGTTTCGATTAGGGAGAAAATCCACACTTTAGATTGTTGAAAGCTGATATTATGTAAGCCTGAAATTCAAGTTAAAGGTCTGTGCTTCAAACTTTTACATGCATAAAAAGCTAAATGACTCACCAGTGCTTGTGTGTGCACAAAATAGCTTCTAACATTACTCCCTCCTCTTTTAGAATTGCCTGAAAAAAGATCCAATAAGATGTCACATAGTCAACCACAGATTACACTCAACATCCCAGAAATGCTGTAGTTAAATGTGTATGGTGCAATAAAAATAGCTGAAAATGCACTGAAATTATGAGCTATTAGAAAGCGTTAAGGTTCGGTCAATGGAGCCTTTAAAGAGCAAATCACCCCCTACCAGAGTCTAATTCCACTCCCATTTCCTGTTAGAAAAATGTGCCACAAGGAGGCATTCCCTGGCAGGCTGAGAGGGCAGAGCAACTAACAAGTACACACACACACACACACACACACACTGGCATTGTGACATCATGAGGTAGCAGCTAACATCACAGAGTACCTCTTAGCCAATAGCGATGGCAGATTTAAATTCAAATTCAAATGTAGTGCTGAGGTTTTACCTGAAGAGGGCGCAAAGCTGCCAGCTTTAGGCAGAATATTTAAATTTTAACTAAGATGCACTAAAGCGCCAAATTACTGACTAAACATGTCCACAGCACTATTGGACACTCATTTATACAGTTTATATGCAAAAACAAGTTGATTTGGGGGCGACTTGCTCATTAAGCTGTAAATAATACAGAGATGCACATTCATGGCATCTTGTTTTCATGATGAATGAGTGTTAAACAAACCACAGGCCGGCAGAAGAAGGAAAAAGCCTGAAAACTCCTGCAGAACTACAGTAAAGAGGACATGATACTGACCTGCTGTTACACGTCATTTTAAAATTTGAGCATTTAAAGCCAAAAACACTGTTTAAAAGGCCAAATGGCAGGAAAAAGATTCACCTGAACTGTTTCGGGGTCAGCAGGGTCGACAGCTGCAGCCACACTGGAGGATGTGTCGATGATAAGGTAGCTGTAGTTGTCAGACAGCACCGAGATGGGAATTATTTTAATACCTGTGGGCAGACGAGAAGGACTGAATGTTCTGAGGTTCTGGTAAATAACATTTATCTACACCCACGTGATGCATACCACTAAACTCCATGGGATAGCATGTGGAATGTCCAGCTGGGTAATGTTCCCTGGCTTTTCTCATTTGCATCTTGTAGTACAAATATCCAAGTTTGGTCCTGGTGTAGAGAGTGTATCTAGAGGGGAATAATAGGATTTTATAAGCTTTTTTAAAGGTCAGCAACAATAGTGTGCATGTCCATCTTATACACGAAGCTACAGATAATAAGGCCATCTAAACTACATTAACACCATTTTTTAACACGCTAAATTAAAGGGTTCCAACCGGAAGTAGCACAGCTGCTGGAACATATTCCCGTATAGATGTAAACAGATGCTGGGTCGAGCAAATAAACCGAATTAACGCCATAACCATCATCATTTATGTTCACAAATTAGATCAGTGTGTTAATACTGACCTAAAACCACCAGACAACGATGGGAAAAATACAGTAAGGCTACAGGATAAAGTAGTAAGCTGTGCTGCGGAACCACTTAGAAACGCTCGTGTTGCACTCACGCTATCCGGAACAACGGCTTCTCCGTTCGCGCCATTATCCTGCTCTGTAATTTCCCCCAAAACAGTCGAGCAGCGCGTCTGTAACGAACACACAAACAGAAAAAACAGAAAAAAGATGCAGTGGCTGCCAACGACAACATCCAGTCAGGAAACGCCATAGCCTCTTAGCACAACGTGATGACGTCGCCACACTTGAGCCAATCACAGAAAACGCACCGGATTGGATCTCCTGGGTGGTCCATTTTGGATCAGCTAGAGCAGTGGTTCCCAAACTTTTTTAGCCGCGCACCCCCTTCTATGTCCCAATGTACAGTCTATGGTCCCAACCATGTCGACGCACCCCCCAGCCCCACATCAGGGCATGGCTATATATATATATATATATATATATATATATATATATATATATATATATATATATATATATATCAGACGTCAAGCTAAACAGCCAGTGTAAAAAAATATGATAGACCTTTTTCCCCATCACTTTCATTTTTTAAATAGTAATTAATAAACATTCGATACCATTACAATTTCCTTTGATTTAATTTTAAATAAATATTTAGAGTGCCCAGGTAGCACATAAACAATGCAATTTAACGGTTTTCTTAAAGTAGGAACGTTTAATGTGCGGCCAGAGCGCTCCCCTTCCTTCTGATCTGCGTAAACCTGAGCTGATCACCTACTTGTGCGTAATCAAATGTCTATAGGGGAAAAAGATGGAAAAGATATAGCCATGATGTTCACTTTTGCCTCAGACCGACTTATTGCTGTTTTATGGTGTGGCTGCGATCCGCTGCCACGCGGACTGGAATAACAAATGCTGCAGTAACAGGCGTTGTTGTCAGGTTCGGAGTCACTGGCTGGAGTGGACCCGACTTTAATACGCCATCCCAAAATAGAAGCTAATATCTTAATTTGACCTTGAATGAAAAATATTGTTATAAAATCTCTTAAGAGTTTTTATCACAGAGGAGGCAGCGCTCATTTCTGTCTTCAGTCTGACGGCGCGCCGGAGTTTGCGCAGCGTGCGCGCTTATTGAATCAGTGTGTGTGTGTGTGTGTGTGTGTGTGTGTGTGTGTGTGTGTGTGTGTGTGTGTGCGGCACAGCTCCATGAGCCGCTCCAGTCACTGCGTCTCATTATCGGCGCTATTTAAACCAATGTTGTAAAATTACTTCTGCCCAGCCCAAATGTGCTCACTTGTGCACCCGTGAGCCGTGGTTCCGCTGGAACGCATCTGACCTCTGACAGACGCACTCTGAACTTCAGATCTTCAGCGCGCTGTCAATAGCCTGAATGGGAATCATTTCTTGATTTATTTTGTTACATCCACAATGTTCTGTGTGTGAGGTTTACAATGTCAGAACACCTGCATGAGACAGGGTGTTAATTACAATCTGCCAGAATGACTCACCACCTTCAGATTCCTCCAACATTGTTAAAAATGATCAAATACAGAACATATCGGCGTGCGCAGGCCAGAGTGCTGAAGCTCGGCGCATTGTTATTATGAAGCTAGGGCACATGTGGAGGACACGCGCGCGCAAAAATATACTTGTTTTCAATTACATTTATTGGGCCCACTTACTTTTTCTTAGGCCCACCCACAAATGAGTTTCTGGCTACGCTAATGGTGACATGTGACAGACTTCTCTGAGCTCCGCAGCCATTACACTTTTCACCTCGCGCACCCCCTAGCGGCAGCTCGCGCACCCCCGGGGGTGTGCGCACCACACTTTGGGAATCCCTGAGCTAGAGGTATGTGCCAGGTGACCATGAAAGTTTTTAGAAAAGCACCCCAAAACAAAAATAGATCATAATTTTTGGTGAATCTAAGAGGGTACACGTCCCTGCTCTATGTAGGTCTTCGTAAGGAAGCGTATTACTATTGTGGGGGAAAATGTGTGAGCAGTATCTTGTAATAACGACTATGTTTCTTGTTATAATGTGATATAAATATTGTTTTAATGAGAAAAACTGTGGTAATAACGACATACAAAGTTGTTTTAACGAGACTGACATAATCATGTCGTAACAAGGACAAAGGTCGTGATGATAAAAGTTTTGTAGGTTTCCAAACCACCCCCAAGGGGCTTCACAACACACACATTCACACACTGGCAGTGATGAGCTGCAACATAGTCACATTTGCCCTGGGTTATAAACTTACAACCCTCGGTTAACATCAATAGATACTTTTATTTTTTGCATTTTTTTATTCATGTTAAAAGGTTTTGAAGTTTTTAAACATGAAAAGCACAAATAGGAAGTGAACTTTTACTTTGAAAACTGCACCTTAACTAGAGAGTGGAAGTAACACAATTTTTTGGGGGGGCACCACACTAGTGATGGGAATTCCGGCTCTTTTTAGAGAGCTGGTTCTTTTGGCTCAGCTCACCAAAAAGAGCCGGCTCTTTCGGCTCCCAAATGGCTCCTCAGATTTTCTGTTGTGTAGAGTACATTTATAACCAAAATAATGCAAAACTATATGTAAAATCATTTACTAATGTAAACAAATGCAATATATCAAATATTTATCATTTCTATGGATTTAATAACTGAACACTTTAAGAAATCTCCACTTTCCGACTGCTGGCGCTCATTTTCTCACCGTCTTCGTCGCACTCCCCTCCCTCTCGCTCGCCTTTTTACTCCTCCTCACTCCCTCTCGTCTCCCTCCACCCGCATGTGCTCTGCTGTGTATCTGTCTGAGTCTGATCCTCCCTCTTCCCCACCCCTACTGCTCTGTGTGTGGACAGTCTGGACACGCAGTTACACATGTTGACCAATCGCCTGTAGCTTTCACCAAAGCAAGAGGGGAGGGGGGAGGGGAGGGGACGGCTCCCAATGAGGAGCCGGCTCCCGTCGTTCACTTCAAAGAGCTGGCTCTTAGAGCTGGTTCGTTCGCGACCGACACATCACTAGGAGGCACACCAAACGCGTCCCTGTGGTAACTCTGACAGAGTCTAGCCTGTAGCTGTGCATCACATCAAACATTTGGGATATATACTTTAATTTTATTTCTTGAGGGACTGGAGATCTGTCCAGGGTGTCCCCCACCTCTCACACGATGTCTGCTCGAGATGGGCACCAGCTACCCACGATCCTGCTGATGAACAACAGTTCAGAAAATGAACGAATGAGCAATATATATACAGGTGCTGGCCAGTAAATTAGAATATCATCAAAAGGTTGAAAATATTTCAGTAATTCCATTCAAAACGTGAAACTTGTACATTATATTCATGCAATGCACACAGACCAATGTATTTCCGATGTTTATTACGTTTAATTTTGATATTTATAGGTGACAACCAATGAAAACATCAAATCTGGTATCTCAGAAAATTAGAATATTCTAAAGGCCAATGAAAAAATGTTTGTTTCTCTAATGTTGGCCAACTGAAAAGAATGAACATGAAAAGAATGTGCATGTATAGCACTCAATACTTAGTCGGGGCTCCTTTTGCCTCAATAACTGCAGTAATGCGGCGTGGCATGGACTCGATCAGTCTGTGGCACTGCTCAGGTGTTATGAGAGCCCAGGTTGCTCTGATAGTCGTCTTCAGCTCCTCTGCATTGTTGGGTCCAGCGTATTGCATCCTCCTCTTCACAATACCCCATAGATTTTCTATGGGGTTAAGGTCAGGCGAGTTTGCTGGCCAATCAAGGACAGGGATACCATGGTCCTTGAACCAGGTGCTGGTGGTTTTGGCACTGTGTGCAGGTGCCAAGTCCTGTTGAAAGGTGAAGTCTGCATCCCCATAAAGTTGGTCAGCAGCAGGAAGCATGAAGTGCTCTAAAACTTCCTGGTAGACGGCTGCATTGACCCTGGACCTCAGGAAACAGAGTGGGCCAACACCGGCAGATGACATGGCACCCCACACCATCACTGACGGTGGAAACTTTACACTGGACCTCATGCAACGTGGATTATGTGCTTCTCCGCTCTTCCTCCAGACTCTGGGTCCTTGATTTCCAAAGGAAATGCAGAACTTGCTTTCATCAGAAAACATAACTTTGGACCACTCAGCATCAGTCCAGTCCTTTTTGTCCTTGGCCCAGGCGAGACGCTTCTTGCGCTGTTTCTTGTTCAAGAGTGGCTTGACACACGGAATGCGACACCTGAATCCCATGTCTTTCATGAGTCTCCTCGTGGTGGTTCTTGAAGCGCGGACTCCAGCTGCAGTCCACTCTTTGTGGATCTCCCCCACATTTTTGAATGGGTTTGTCGTCACAATTCTCTGCAGGGTGCGGTTATCCCTAGAGCTTGTACACTTTTTTCTACCACATTTTTTCCGTCCCTTCGCCTGTCTGTTAATGTGCTTGGACACAGAGCTCTGCGAACAGCCAGCTTCTTTAGCAATCACCTTTTGTGTCTTGCCCTCCTTGTGCAAGGTGTCAATGATTGTCTTTTGGACAGCTGTTAAGTCAGAAGTCTTCCCCATGATTGTGGTGCCTTCAAAACAAGTCTGAGGGACCTTTTAAAGGCCTTTGCAGGTGTTTTGAGTAAATCAGCTGATTAGAGTGGCAGCAGGTGTCTTCTATATTCAGCCTTTTCAGAATATTCTAATTTTTTGAGATACCAAATTTGGAGTTTTCATTAGTTGTCACTTATGAATATCAAATTTAAATGTAATGAACATTGGAAATACATTGGTCTGTGTGCATTGCATGAATATAATGTACAAGTTTCACGTTTTGAATGGAATTACTGAAATATTTTCAACCTTTTGATGATATTCTAATTTACTGGCCAGCACCTGTATATACATATATATGTAGATAATTTTTCTGACAGATAACAAATAAAAGATAATATGTGTTCTGTATTTATGAATCATCGACACTTCCACCTTAGATCAGGACTTAAAGAGCAAGTCACCCCCTTAAAGAGTATTACTCCACTCTCACTTCCTGTTTGAAAAATGCAGCAAATGCTGTTGCCTAGCAGACCCTAGTGGGCGGAGCCACTAACAAATACACACACACAGGCTCACAACGACATTGTGACATCATATGGTACAGCTAACGTTCTAGAGCACCTCTTGGCCAACAGCGATGGCAGATTTAAATTCAAATGTAGTGCAGAGTTTTTACCTGACAACGGCACAACACTGACAGTTGTAGGCAGAACATTTTAATGCACTAAAGTGCTAAACTATTGAGTACACATGTCTGCTGTCATGTTCCTGAGCTGAGGTGAGCACTCTCTCCACACTAACCATCTCTGAGGCAATCTTCCACAGGTGAGGAGCGGAGGGAGCTGCAGGTGCACCGAATCTCCAATCTGGAGGTCGGGTATAAAGGGAGGATGGAGACACCACACTACGCCAGATGATTGCACCTGTTAGGTAGCCCCAGCCTCTCGACTTTGTTTGCTCGTTTGCTTGTTAGGCTTTTCCTGGATTACGCTTTTTGGATTCTCCTCTGAACCCTGTTTGTTTACTCTGCTCAGGATACTCCACTCTACACACTTCTCTCGCCGCTCGAACCTCGGATTTCCAGAACCACGTCCCATCCTCCTCTTCAACGCCTGCCCGTTTATCTCCGCTGCCTCACCCGCCTCAGCCCGCTGAACCTCCACCTGCACTCACCTTGGCTACCCACCTTCCCGCACATATTGGACTATTATATGGACCAAAGCCAAACGGCACACCCTCACTGGACTTACCAATGCGCTTTTTGTTCCTATTTTAAAATAAAGAACTTTTCTTTACTCACCCAGTGAAGTCGTGTTGATTCTGCATGTCTTGGGTCAAACATCTCCCTTGAGTCATGACAGTCTGCAGCACAATTACACACATTTACATAGTTTATCAGGAAAAAAAGAGTTGATTTGGTGGTGACTTGCTCTTTAAGTTGGGCTGTCCCCTGAAAATGTTTACCTTTAAGCCTGACTGTGGCGTTTAGCAGCATTTGTGTGTATTTACTTATTCATTGAAGAAGTTCCATGGGTAACCAGCCAGCATGCTTTCTGAGAAACAGCAGTGTGAATTTCAGTGAGCATATCCAGTTTCAACTATGGCATCTCTTCCTGCGGCACCAGTCAGACGTCTGAGCTGAGAGGACCGAGGTGTCTGGCGTTCCCATCGGAGGCGAGAGCCCAAAGGTGAGGAACTTTAAGTTCTGTTTGTTTATTGAATTGTAATTCAGATTGGAATCATCAGATTAGATTTAATCTGAATGAAGAGTGTTATCAAATCCAATATCTGCTCTTTACATTAATGCAAGACTTCTCTGATGAATTGTTGGGTTTTGCCTGTGATTGTGCTGTTGCTATAGTAGGATTTATTACTATTGTGAAATGTGACCATGACAAATATTAGCTGAGTAAAAATCACATTTCCATCCAGGCTGCAGGTCTCGTGTAACTCGGGTGTTTCCCATCTTTAATTTTTAAAGGTGCTCCTGATGACATCTAAAACTGATGCTCCTCCATCCTACGAGGAGGCGCTGCACCTCCCTAAGTCTGATCATTCCCCTGATCAGCCACAACATGGCGCCCCTCTTCCTCCACCTCCGTCTTACAGCCCCAGTCCTGGCATGTACCTCGGCCCGCCTGGCTACTGGGGCCCCGGGGGCGCCGTCTACCCACAGCCCAGCATGTGTTCAGGCCCGGGCTTTTCTCCAGCTGGAATTCCCATCGCCACTCTGTCGTCCGGACTGCCAGCATCCAACCAAGGTTTGTCAAGAGTTTAAAGACTTTTATTATTCTACTCTTTTATTTGTAACTTCCAGCTCTTTATCCTGCAGGAGACATGGACGATTTCTTGAGCAACCAGTGGGAAAGCATGTCTGTTCGGCATGCCTTCATCAGAAAAGTAAGCAGAAATTCTCCAAAATGCAAAAGTGTTCAATCTCCTAATCTGTTCTGGCTGTTTGTGCACAGGTTTACCTCATTTTAACCGTGCAGCTCACCATCACCTTTTCAGTCATCGCCATCTTTACGTTTGTGTAAGTTCCTCCTAGTTCCTCCCAGTATAGCAGCTGTTACTGCTTAGTGGAAACCAGTGAGTGTTATATCTGTGCTTTCACAGTGACCCTGTCAAGCTGTTTGTCATCAGATACCCCGTCATCTACTGGGCTTCTTAGTGAGTTACTTATCACTGGTATTATTGCTACTATATCGCAGTAATACTCATTAAAATGTGCGTTTCTGTTTTTAGTGGGGTGTTCTTTGTGGTTTATTGCATTCTCATCTGCTGCAAAGAGCCGAGGTGAGCAGGGCAGGCCTGGGTCCGGATGTATGGGGTGCCTTTTGTAAAGTCAAATAGACATTATTTAAAAGCAGCATTTTGGGTTAATTAGTGCATCACAAGATAGACTTGGGAATTCATTTTTCTAAATTAGATTTTCACCATGCTATTCATACATTTATAAAAAAATTTAATGTTCATAAATAAACAATTATTTAGCAAGCTAAATGTTTTTATATGGAGGTAATGTTTATTTTACAAACTAAGCAGACTTAAATATTTACTTTGTAAAATAAATATTTATTTACTTACTAAATATTTGATTTGGAGCAAAATATTTATTTTACAAACTAAATATTTAGCTCCAAATTTAATTTTTATTTTCCAAAATAAATATTTAGATCCCAGCTAAAAATTTATTTAGTAAAAAATAAATATTTAATTTGTAGTTAAATATTTATTTTACAAACTAAATATTGAGGTCAGAACTAAATGTTTAGTTTGTAAAATACATATTTAGCTCCAAAATAAATATTTATTTTCCAAAACAAATATATAAATCCCAGCAAAATAGCTGGGATCTAAATATTTATTTTGGAAAATAAATATTTAATTTGGAGCTAAATATTTAGTTTAGCTCCAAATAAAATATTTAGTCAGTAAATTCAATAATTATTTTACAAACTAAATAGTTTGGTCCAACCTAAATATTTTGTTTATAAAGTAAATAATTACCTCAAAACTAAACATTTAGTTTACAAACAAAATATTAAGGTCAGACCTAAATATTTAGTTTGTTAAATAATTATTTAACTCTAAATTACCTATTTAGCTTGTTAACTAAATACTTAGTTGGGATCAAAACATTTATACGTGTAAGAATAACACGGTGAAAATACGACTTAGAAAAATTAACAACCTGTTTTTTTCTTATAACAGACTAAATAATCCAAAATATTGTTAAGTTATGACTGTTTGACTTTACAAATGGCACCCCATGAGATTCTTCCATTATTTGTGCGTTTTTAAATGTTTTCTCTGATTTTCCCACCTAGGAGGCGTTTTCCATTGAACCTTGTGCTGCTGGGAATATTTGTAAGTAGGGGCAGTTACTAGATGAATCCAGAGTTTAGCATCTTTTTGAATTAAAGATTTTGGTAACACGTTTTCACGCATTCGCTTGCAGACGTTCGCCTTTTCTTACATGTCTGGAACAGTTTCAAGGTTTGTTAAAGACGCTGCACTAAAACACTCAGATATGTTTTGTTTAGTTTGTTTTAATCACAACACGTCTACGTTTTACAGCTATTATGAGACAAAAGCCGTGTTTCTCGCCATGGGGATAACAGCAGTAGTGTGCATATCGGTGACAGTCTTCTGCTTCCAAACGAAGGTAGATAAAAACTGTTTCTCTGCAGCTCTGCGGCTCGACTCTTGTCAGAGGAAGCCTTTGTTGTTCGTGTAAAAGAACTCCTTTGTCTCACGTTACAGTGAGCCACTGAGATCCTTTAAATATTCATAACATCTTGGGATAAGATCTGAATCCAACTTTTCTGCCTGATGCAACTCCAGATACCAAAGTTTCATCTTTTGGCAGGAACATGACACTTTTGTGTTATTTTAACCTCACTCTCATCATCTTTACAGCTACTTCATGTGGCCTGAAGCACATTAGCTTCTCGTTTCATCCTGCTAATGACTTGTTTCTCATCACAGGTGGACTTCACCTCCTGCGGCGGGTTTCTCACCATCGCCGCTGTTTTGCTTATGATCATTGGGATTGTTACGGCCATCGTGCTCTCCTTCCAATATGTGAGGACTCTTTGGTCAAACCCTTTGATCTACTCCCTCTGTGCTCGTCAGAAAGCCCAGGAGGCCGTATGCGTGGCCAATTTCACACTTACAAGTCTTTTTTATGTCATTCAACAGGTCCCCTGGCTCCACATGCTCTACGCTGCAATAGGAGCTGTCGTTTACACTCTGGTGAGTCTCTGCTGACACAACTTCAAGGAGAACATTTCATCTTGGGATTTTCAGGGTTTTGTTGAGTAACAAAAAGCCTAAAAGTCTTTAATTACATGGTTTTTTGTGTGAGACAAACATGCTGACACTTTGCTCTTCTGTAGAGCCTTAGGTTTGTGGGCTCGTCTTCATGTTGCATCAGTCCATTTGTATCCGTTTCTAGTTCTAAAAACGACAAGTATATTCAGGAAAACATAGCAGGGCAGCACCGGGCAGCAAGGGTCTCCAACGACCACCACATTGTTTTATAGTTTGTTTCAAAGAGCTACGTTTTGCTGGTATCTTTAAAAATGGCTCTGGAAGAAATTCTGAAGGTTTTTCTTC